TGATTATGCTTTTTGTAGGCAAATGGGGGAATGAGGGAATTAGGTACTCTTACTCTCTTCTTTTTTTTGAATTTAAGATCTTGTTACTATGTTAGGTTTTTACCAATGATTATAAGGTACAACCACTTGTCATAGAATTTTACCCCGTCCTTTAACATTGATTATGCTTTTTTGCAGTTTTTGTCTCTTATCTGCAAGAGTGAAATGAAAGTTCTTAATTTCTTTTGTATTTAAATCATTTCTGAGGTCTTAAGCCTCTGTAAGCTTTTGTCTTGTAATGCAGTTCTTCATGAGGTGTGTCAGAGGTTTATTTTCAAATTAAGTATGAAACCTCATACTTTTATTCATTCATTCATAGGTTAAGCTTTGGTGGATGTAAATGGTTATAACTTATAATGGAGTAGAATCAAATAGAATTGTATCAGGTTCCATTATTTGGTGGTTTTAATTTTATAATGAGTTTCATGTCATCCTTTTGTTATTATTTCAACATTTCCTTCCAATTTCAAACATGTAATGAAAAGAGAGTAATTTTATTCACTTTGTTTTATTATGAAAAATATCCAAACAATGATAACATTTCTTCCATAGCACTCATTATTATATATTCAAACTTAGGCCAATGTTTTCATGCTTATTGTTTTACTCCTTTGTTAATTTTTGTGTCTAACTCCACAACTTGCTCTCATCATTTCACCTTGCACCTATTTTCCCTCCAAAATTTAAACCAAACATTGCAATTTGCATTAGCCATTATGCACTGCCACTTGCATTCATTTGGTTACCTTACCACACTTGTTACCTTTTATTTCTCCATAGTTATATATTTAAACACATAAGTTTGTTAGCATTTGAGTTTAACATTGTCATTGTTTCTCCCTGCAGATTGTGACACAAAAAACTCTGGTGAAGTTATGGGCAAGGCTACAAGGTGGCTGAAGGGATTGTTCGGAATGAAGAAAGAGACGGAGCACTCTGAGAATTCAAGCCCATTCACTCCTGGCAAGGAGAGGAAAAGGTGGAGCTTCACTAGGTCATGCAAAGAAGATGTGAATCACATTACCCCAACTGTTCATAATGATTGGCTCAGGTCTTATTTTGCTGAGAAAGAAAAAACGCTGAAAAAACGCGCCATCACTATGGCTGGTGCAGATGCCACTGTGGTGGCGGTAAAGGCTCCAGTAACTGTTGTGAAGCTAAGAAGGCATGGTAGTGGTACATTGTTTAGTGGAGGCATAGGGTGGTGGGCTGCTTTAAAGATTCAATCTTTTTTCAGAGGGTATCTGGTATGTTGCTGATTTGTTTATTTTTTATGAAATTTTAAACAGAATTGGTTTTAGTGCTAGTTTTTATCATACTGGCATGTTTGTTTTTCTGTTTTCAATTTGGCCTGTTGCATTGTTTTGTGAATCACGATGTGTGACAAATATACTTGATTTTGCTCCAAATGATGATGTTCTTTGCTTGTTTGTTACTCTTTGGTCTGCTTTTAAAAAGTTGTGAAAGTTTGTTTTAGTTTCTTAATGAAACAGTGCCTCCTCTGTCACCTCATTTTCTACTTGTTTTTTTAATAATCTTAAACTTCGACTCATTTTCTTAAGCCAAATTTCATTGAATAATTAATCAGTGCCCCACCTTATATTGTAATGTAAATCTTATGCTATCCTATAGTTTGTACTTTGTAGTATGTTCTATAAGCACTCTAATTCAAGCTTGCTATTATTCTTTTCATTCAGGCAAGGAAGGCTCTTAGAGCACTCAAAGGATTGGTTAAGATACAAGCTCTTGTTAGAGGGTATCTAATTCGGAAAAGGGCTGCTGCAACTCTTCATAGTATGCAAGCTCTAATGAGAGCTCAAGTTGCTATTACCTCCCAGCGAGCTCATCGGTACATGAGCATGGGGAGTAGATTACAACCTGGAACTCATGCTAGAAAACACATGGTAAGCATGTTCTCCATACCAACTTCAATTACTATCATTATTTTCCGTGTTTGCTTTTCTGTTCTTATGTGTTTTCCCCTTTTAGCAAAGGTTTGATGAAATACGAAGTGAATTCCAAAGTAAAAGGCCTGCAACATCTTGTAAAACATCCTTCAATGGATTTGATGAGAGCCCAAAATTTGTTGAAATTGACAACCACATACCTCATCAATTAAGGAATAGGCACACTACCACTGCAATGTCTGAATGTGGAAAAGAATTGTGTTATCCTTGTCGAATATCAGTTCCTGAATGCAGACCACAACAAGATTGTGAATTGTGCTTCAATGAATGCAAGTTCTCCATGGCTCACAGCACACCTCGTTTAGCAAATTATTGTATGCTGCATAATGCCCCACCCACACCAGTGAAGAGTGTTTGTGGAGACACCCTCTTGAGTACTTGCCCTGATTCCCCCAACTACATGGCCAATACTCAATCATCCAAGGCAAAACTAAGGTGTCACAGTGCCCCAAGGCAAAGACCTGAGCAAAAGAAAAGGCTTTCAGTCAATGAAACAATGGCTGCAAGAAATAGCATAAGTAGTGTTAGAATGCAGTCCAGTCCACAAACTGAAGAATACAGCATTCTTAACAAGGTTGTTCAAGAATATTATGTCAATTGGGAAAGTCAAAGTAAAATTTGAGAGGAAACTGAACTAAAGAAGTTACTTGCATTGAAATTTATTTTTGACTTGTTTTGGTAACTTACAGGTAGAATAGAAGAGAATCTGCTGATGTACATGCCTTTTCAACATAGTTAGTTTCCTTGTACTACCAAATGGTTATTTCCAATAAAGAATGTTTTTTATGTTGAATACACTGTTTAATTGTTGTTTTTGTTTCTCAGTCTAAATAGTTGCATACCACCATAGTCTACAGAAAGTATTGTGAGACGAATGAAGTAGAAAACTCTACATTTTCATTTCTGAATCCATTTTATATTATAAGAAAATTACAGTGCCTTGCTAAAATGGCTAACTAACTACCAACAACATAACTAACTTGATCAGCAAGCTATTAAAAATAGATTAACAACGAGAGGAGCAATCCTCTGCCACTGCCTTCTCCTACTCACTTACACACTACCATTGTCCTTCCTTTCTTGATGCCTCATTATCATAGGAACTTGATCATTGATTTGCATCATAAGCTTCTTTGTATAATCTCTAATACCTGGAATAAACATTAATAACTCCACACTAGGTAAGGAGATATTGAAAGGGGGAAGGATCCAAGGGCTTTCTGAATAAATGATGGAAGAGATTGATTGAAAACAAATTATTGGTAAGAATAATGCTATATCTTCCTCCTATTAATCCTCGTATCCACAAAAAGTGATATATGTCTCAAAATAATAGGATATATCTAAAAAATTGAGTCAAGTATAGGTTAATCAGAAAGCCTACCAACTAATTGTATACGAGTCAGTATCATTATATTGTTATAGGTTCACACATGACACAACTGTACATTTTTTGCAAGGTAGAAGAATTTGAATATAGTTATACAATATACATTTTTTGAGAGGTGCAATAATTTGAATTTAGTTATGCAAAAAATAAGGCAAGACTGTAAGACTAGTTATGGTCAATTAAAAAAAATGAGGCGATGTATATATTGTTTTGTAATGCCTTTTAAAATTTAAACACAAAAGGAGTTGACTGAAAATGCATGCAAAATAAGATTCAGTGACAATTGGTTGAACATATAATACATATTAATCTTTTTTCCTCAATATGGTAACATCTTATTCTACCTTTGGTAGATTGAAACAAAAGGAGAAATATTAAAATTGAGAGAACTTAGTTGGCAAGAATATATTTTTATTAAGTGTAATATCCATCCACGATTGGCATAAAATAAATATTTCATCAACCACTCACTTTTAATTACTTCTAATTAGAAGGGTGTTTTTAAAGAGTAATAATTAGAAAGGTGGATGATGAAACTGATACCCTATCACTATATAGATTTTAGGGGCGGGACCCAACCCTAACCACTCACCCGGTAGGGTCCAATCATGATCAAGTTTGAAAAGAGTCTGATCTCAACGAGTCTAGGACCAAGTTTGGATTCAAAAATTAGACCTAGTCAATATTTAAAATCGGGTAAGAACCAAATATTTAGGACTGGGTAACAACCAAATATTTAGGATCAGGTTTGTACATGTCTCTATTCATATATATATATATATATATATATATATATATATATATATATATATATTGTTTTATACTTTTTTGGACCTAAATATTATTAATTCTCTAATTGTTTTATACATATATTATTTTATATGTCAAATTACATATTCATAATAATAAATAATATTCAAAAGACTTTGTGTAAAATGAGTATATATTATATTTAATCGGGCCAGATTTAGAAAAAATGACTCAAATAATATTTAGGGAACCTTAACCCTACCCAAGCTGACTCGAAATAGATTCCAATGTCGGACCTATCTCATCCCTCATGTGAGCGAGGTCATTCACACATGGGGAGTATTTTGTTTACTTGAACTTGAATTCATGGACAAGCAGAAGATAACTGATTTGATTGGTTGCGTTATTGATTTGAGCATGTATATTACTTATAGGGATTAAACACAATATACAATGACAACATTTACCAAAACAAGAAACACTGTTGTTTCTTCTCTCATCTACGGTAGCAAATTCGACAAAACCCATTCGAAGTAGAAAATAGGACAACCTTACAAGATTCAAACCAAAGGAATTAATCTCCTTCAACCAAATTCCTATAGCTCTGCAAACATATCACTAATTTAAACTGTATCAAAAGAGTATTCTAGACGAAACAGTGGCATCATTGTTTTGCCAAAGCAACAGAAAAAGCATGATCCAGATTGAAATAAAAACCATAACAATTGCTTTTCCTACAAGGGTAAGAGTAAATTGCAAAATTGGACAGATTTGGATAAAAAAATATAACTGCGATGATCACAAAGCAATTCTACCTAAAAGTAAAAAAATCAATTCAAGATTTTATGAAATCGAGCCTCAGAGATCTTGGTGGAAAAAAAATCATCAAATGGGTGATTCCCATCAAGAGTAGCAAATATTTTCCAGCATCACAGGCCTAGCATCAACACCCATATGTAATTGGAAATAAAAAAAGGAAAAATAGTGAAAATATAAACTACTAGAATGTGAAAAACATAACACAATATGAATACAATGTTGTCAGACTTAATTGTAAGATCATATATATAATATCATTGGGAATCCGAATGATTTTATCATCATTCAACATTGTAATCTATATTCAAAACCAACAAAACCAAATTCAAATAAAACAGCAGAAAGAATAATTGCAATATTAGGCTGATAACAATAATTGAATATAAACACAGAATACATAAAATTGGAATAATAATTGTTGTATAAGACTCAGAGAGTTGCTTTATGTGCTCAAAGATGAACCAAAATTCATCTCATACAAGAGGTGTCAGAATATATGAAGCAATCATCACTGTCTACATAAAAAAAATGAATTATATAAAAAAATGTGGGGAAAATGATTGTTGTGAATTTCAATAGGAAAAAAATGAAAAACAACTGCCCATTTTCTCAAGAATGATTTTGCAGGGAATTCTTTCGGAAGAATGCATTAATCATAGCACAACACCGATACACACAATCACTGCTTTTCACAATATAGTACATATAAATCAAAACATTTAGAAAATAAAAGTAGATATTGGAAGAGATGATAGTGCTGAATCATGAAATGCAAATATGCATTATATATAGATATAGAGTGTGGCTGTAAAACCCTAAGGAAGCTGCGGAAGTCTACTGAGTTTGTGGGCTTGGGTCTTGGGCTTGTAGGGAGATGGGCCATGCCCAAAAGCCTAAACCTCATTTTAATATTGGTTTATCTATATTGTGCGGAGAGATCCACTTACTCCAAGATTCATTCCCATATATTATACCATGGTTTGCACTTTGCAGCAAAGAAAGCCTAATATATCATTTACTCACAATTTCAATTTTCATGTAATACTAAAAAAATTACGAACTAAACTTGTAACATGAGGGTATGAGGGGGAGCTTTTCTAGAACAATTCTACTAGCTATTTTTTGGTAATATAAATTATTAAATTTGAGCTCTATTTTTAGAGTAGAGAATGAGCGGTGCAATAGTGTTAATGTTTTAGGAACATAACTTAACTACACCCAAGATAACATTAAAATACATTTCAGTTCTTCTTTGACCTTTTAAATTTGATGCTCTATTCCTATATAGAAATATGAATATGTTGGCCCAAATCTTGTCTTACGTTTATATGAATTAAAAAATATAAACATTTATTATTATTGTTATTTTTGCTTCACTATTACAGGGCGAGATAAGATTTGGAACAAAGAAAGAAACCTATGTGGTAGTGGAAATAGAAGTATGGTTTGTAATCTTTTGAGTGTACCATGAGTAGTAGTTTGGAGTGAGAGCAAGAGAACAAAGTCCCACATTGTTAAATAAAGATAATAAAACAGGGTTTATAAAGAGTTAAGAAAGTGGCAAAGTATAATTATGATGAAGAGGCATAGGGATTTAACTTGTAATGGAATACCACATGCAAATAAAGTGGCACACAGTCAAGGATTTTGAAGAGCACGCTTTGGGTTGAATCAAGGAGACATGACCACTGACTTAGCTCACAGTCTAAAGAGAATGTCTTTTCCATTGGCTAGCTAAAATATTCTTATTCGAAAAACCTCTTCAAAATCTCCCAAAAAAGTGCACTTTAAGTACATAGACTGCATTAAACTATTTTATATAAAAACAAACTTAAAAGTCACAATCGCTTTCTATCCTTTGATCTTAAATCTTAATCATGGGTGTATAATTGCTAGACCTTTCTGTATGCTAAAAGGTTGTGTAGTTTACTTCTACTACTTTCATTGTAGCCATCTACTTCATAAAAAGTGCACTTTAAGTACATAGACTGCATTAAACTATTTTATATAAAAACAAACTTAAAAGTCACAATCGCTTTCTATCCTTTGATCTTAAATCTTAATCATGGGTGTATAATTGCTAGACCTTTCTGTATGCTAAAAGGTTGTGTAGTTTACTTCTACTACTTTCATTGTAGCCATCTACTTCATAAAATCAAACACCATTGTACTAAGCATCAACAGCATTAATTAGGCTAGAAGATTAAGATCTCAATTTTAATCATTGTTATTATTGGATGAAATATATAATTAGAAGTTCTATATGAGTTCAATGATCCCCTTTTCATACATTTTTTTATTGGTAATGAGAATGCTAATGAGTATTCTCTAAAGGCATTTTAAGGAATCAAAGACTAAAGTCTCATATTGGAAAATGATATATTTGATGCTATAGAGAAGTTGTGAAATTGTGATTTTCATGACAAAGTTTGTACCTCTTGATTCCCATGGGGGGAACTAGTTGTTAAGACCCTACTAATAATCATTTCATCTTAGGGAATGTTGGATATTATGGGTAGGGTTTTGCATGGGAAAAGAAGGGTTGAAAGAGAAAGCAATACTAGTAGGAGGAGAATTATGCATTGCATCAACCTTGTTCCCTAGACTTTCTAGTGCTTTGACTTGTGACCTAAGAAACTTGAGGTAGTTAGCAGCCTCATCAAGCATTGATGCAGTATCCATCTTGGTTCCACCAGGCACAATCTTTTGCAAAGTCCTAATCCTCTCACTTATTCTCTCCCTTCTCTGCCTTGCAGCCACAGTTTGTGGATCACATGATATCCTCACATTTTTCCTCTTAGGCTTTTCCACAACCTCCAAGCCTAAGTTCACTGGCCTAAATGCTGCAGCCCTATATATCATTTCCTTCATTTGTGCTATGGCCTCTGGATCAGGTTCTTCATTGAATGATGACACTGATGATGAATTTGGTTGCTGGAAACTTATAGTAGATGAACAAGGATGCTTATGATCCCACCTTGGTTTCTTGGATTTTTGTTGGTTCTCTGAGATAAGCTTGAAAGTACCAACTTCAGTGCTATTAGCAGGAGAATTCTGAACAATACTGAAGTGGGGATCATACTGAATATCATTACTCAATTTTGTGCACCTATTAACCTTATAAGAATCTATGATTTTTTCTTGACTTACATATTGATCTGAGGATCTTTGAGAGACTGTTTCATCCAGTTGCATGTTTTTGTCTCTAGAACTTGAAGCATTACTCTCAGATTCACCAGAGGAAACTGCAGTGGCATTGTTACCATAACTGAAGTTGTTGTTGTTGTTCCATAAGTTTCTGCAGTCAGATAAAATTATGGAAATCCCATTATCTTCAACAGACTTATTCTCTGTGCTGATGATACTATTTGTAGTGGAAAGCTTGCACTGATCAAGTTGTTGTTGTTGTTGTTGGTGGGTCATGCTGAAATCTTGCACATAATTGTTCATCACATTGACAGAAAGGGAGTGGTGGCATGATTGAGATGTGTAAGCTTCTAATTCCCAACTGGTTCCAGCTGCAGATTTAACAGGTATGATTGTTGCTGACACATTTGTGTTTGGTAGCATCATTCTCATGGTACTATCTGTTGTTTGAGTCTTGTGCATCTCTTGCATTTGATTCAAAACACTTGAACTTAAATTGGGCATGGAGTAGCCTCCTCTTTCGAGCTCTTGCCTTTGCTCATGAGTGTTCCACAAGATTGGTATGTTAGAAATGCATTGTGAAGCATCCCAGCTCAGATCATCCATTGGAGTTTAAAACAATTTCTTATGAAGTGGAACTGAAATAAATCTATTGAAAGTTGAATGACCCTTGTTGCCTATATGATCATGTTGAGCACAATTAATCAGATACAATAAATAAGCACAAATACATGTAAGCATGAGGGATTAATTTGCACCACTGTTATTCATTTTTCACTTACATCCTTAATCTTATCTTCATCCAAGAGTTATTAAAGTTAAAATCACTAAAAGTTATTCCATGGTATGGTCCAATACCAATGATATTATTCAAATAATTTAATTAAATGAGTTTAGTCCAAACCAATGATGAAAACGAATAAGAATAAGTGGAAAATTACTTATATTGGTGTAACCTGATATATATTAGGTGTAAAAAAGATTTCATATATGAATGTGCAAAAATAAATTTGTCTTGAAAGGCTTACCAATTATAGATCCAGATGCCTCATGAACCACACAGTAACCAAGAGGATGAGAATCCTTACTTTGTTCAATGTAAGCAACTGAACAGAAGAGGATTGATTCAATGCAGCTTTTATTTGAATAGCATTAACTGCCTTATTCAATACAATTGGATAAAACTGTGATAAAGGGAAAGAAAAAAAAACCAAACTTTATGTTAGTTTTGGCAACTGAATTCTATGTACTACTGTTTTATTGTCAAGACTCAAGAATAAAACAATGACCATATACATTTAACAAGTTGAGTATAGAGAATAGAAAAATAGAGAATAAAGGGTGTGCCTTCAGATGCCATGGATGACTGGTACTTATGCCGTTTGTGTTTGTTTAATAGAAGCTTATATAGATAGGATAGGAAAAACAAAACGTACAACAAGCTTTTCAATAATACAAATTTTGGTACTTGAACAATTATGTCAGAAAGATGTGTAATAAATAGGCAATTGATCATATATTATAGGAGGACAAAAATTATAATATGGTTTAAACAGTTTAGAGAAGTACACTACAATAGCTTTTGAAAAAGATAAGGCTTTTTGGTCAGCTGAATGGGTATGATGGGGAGCATAAATTTCAGAGAAAATTTTAATTCACCACAGTATACCAATTTATATCTTATATCTTAGGTACTCAAATTATTATTTAATATGTGTGATGTTACATAATCCATTTTAGAATAACATCTATCTTTCTTCTTAAGTGGGAAAAACTCTGACCTCTTTTTTGTAGCTCATGTATATTCCATGCGCACTGTAAAGTTGCAGTGAAAGTGAGAGCATCTTTTAACAGCATCACTCTCTTGTCAAAAGATTTCTATTAATCATAGTTTTAATCATAGCCTTGTGAATTGTGATCTTTTCACTTTTTACCACCCTACTTGTTTAAGTTGAGGAATCTACGAATTAAATTTAGAAGCACAGTAGTTATGTAAGACTGAACTTTTTTGAAACTTTAAGTGCTCAAATTTGTGATTTTTTTACTTACTATATGAGACCCCTCTTGCTCTACTTTTTATGTAAATGTTTTATCAGCTGTAACTGTTGTAAGGATAGGGAGGCCAATATCTTCTCCTCTTATGTATCTTTTGAGTATTTACCACTTCCCCAAAAGCTATAGAATATAAAAGGTTTTACTTTCAGTACTTAAGTATGAATTTAAATGAGTCTATTGGAGTAAGAAGTGTGAATTGAGCGAGAAGGTTTCATGGACCATAGTGATAAAGAAGCATACTTATAAAAACTTATGTGGAGATGTATATACATAAAGACAACCAATAAAATCTTGAAAACATTATAGGTTATATATCTCTATATACAAGTTTATCTTCCCGGCATATAGTATTGGCGTCGTTGATTGGTTGGCTTATATATCATTGACCCCAAGGGTCACAATTATAAAGGTTCATCATCACACGTGAACTCAACGCTCTTAAACGTGGTCATCATTGATTGGTTCATGTTCTGATGAGACCGCATAG